TGACAAATTTTGGCGACTTTTTGTTTTCTTGCCATCGAATTTCGAACGGCTCTCGTGCCCACATACTTGATCGTAGCAGCTTCAAACTTGCTGGACATGATGATGGCTCCACCCCGAATGCCCTGATATGTTAATATCCCACCTTACTCATAGCGCCCCCCGGTGGTAACAGGAAGTGACCAGTTTTTACTTTAACATGTACTAATGCCACAAACTTGACCGCATCAACTTCATTCCACTTCTAATGCATGCAGAACAAGCTGGTGAAGCTACCTTATGAATGCTGTGAAGCTACGTCTAATGGTCTCCATGTGGCGGCGTGGCGACTATCGATCCCTCGCCACCAAATACGTTTGGCTTTTTGATGGCTTCAGCGACTTCATATCCTCATGAAAATTGATACACAGGTCAAGAATGGCGAGCTCTTGCATCTGATAGGGGCGTCACCCATGAGGGGGACAAAATGCCTCTATAGTGCCCCCTTGAAATTTTCAAAAAACCCTCCCCATAACATGTTTTTGGAGTTTGAACATGAAAATTAGTACACATCTGTATGTTGTCCAGACGCACATAAAAGTCTCTGGCACCAATGGTCTACTCCAAACAGGAAGTCATTTGAGTTTGACTTGTCATTTTGGCATGATTTCCACATGTTGTATTTTAACAACATAGTCCTAAAATATTATATATATATTATTAGGGCCCGAGCAGGTCACAGACCTGCGAGGTCCCTATTGTTTTTCGAATGATTATTAGGGCCCGAGCGACGACGAAGTCGTCCGTGAGGACCCTATTATAATCGCGCTGTTTATTATTTAGGGCCCGAGCGACGACGATTGGTACACAGGTCAAGAATGGCAAGCTCTTACATCTGATAGGGCCGTTGCCCATGGGGGGGATAAAATACTTCTATAGCGCCCCCTTGAAATTTTCAAAAAACCCTCCCCATAGGATTTTTATGGAGTTGGAACATGAAAATTGGTACACATGTGTATGTTTTCCAGATGCACATAAAAGTCTCTGGCACCAATGGTCTACTCCAAACAGGAAGTCACCCATTTTGAGTTTGACTTGTCATTTTGGCATGATTTCCACATGTTGTATTTTAACAAACTCGTCCTAGGGATTTCATCCAATCGACTTCAAATTTTTTACAGATCATCCAGCGACCATTCTGATTAAAAGTTGTGCTCTGCATGTCTGTAGGTCAAAGGGCGTGGCTGCTATGGCGCCTCTATTTTTGATGCATCGCCATGCATATTCAAGGAGCTCTCTCTCCCACATACCTCATCCAAACTGCTTCAAAATTTCTGTACATAAGAGCCCCGCCCTCAACGCCTCCATATGTTCGTATACAATCTTGCTCATGCCGCCCCCTTGTGGAAACAGGAAACGCCTTATTATACATTGACATTGTCCGATTTGCTTGAAACTTCACATGTGTGATGACGGTCCACCCCTGAACGCACCTGCCCACATCTGGTTACGCTCGTAGCACCACCTGGTGGATGAACAAAACATTGCGTTTTTTCACTCCTGCCAGATTTTTTCTTCCTTCTCGCTTCACGCCACAGCCCCCGCATGCCTCAGACCCCCGCAGTTGCATGGGGGAGCGAGGGCCCGATCACAGCTGCTTGCAGCTTTAATTTGTTATTATTATTATTATTCTTGCGAGAATATAACCCCCAATTTGGCCCCTTTCCCAAATTCAAAAACGCACCAAATTTGGCACATGCATTTGGTCTGGCGAAAAATTTGAGATTTCGGCAGTGTTGTATGTGGACGGGGCCAAATGGCGACATAGCGCCCCCTAGAAAATTTTGTGCCTCGAGCCCCGCCTGTGAGTTTCACCTACATGCATGAAAATTGGTGGGCTCATAGAACATGCCAAGACGCACAAAAAATCCACCTGAACCCATGCCGTAAACCCAACAGGAAGTTGGCCATTTTGATTTGAATTTTTGACATGTTTGATCGAACTCCTCCTAGGGATTTCGTCCGATCGACTTCAAAGTTGGTACAGATCATCCTGAGAACATGCTGATCAAACGTTATTAAAAGCTTTTCTCTATGTCAAGGGGTGTGGCAGCTAGGGTTTGACAAACTTTGGTGACTTTTCGTTTTCTCGCCTTCGATTTTCGAACAGACCTCACGCCCACATACTTGATGAATTGAACATAATGATGGCTCCGCCCCAAACGCCCCGATGTGTCATTATCCCACCTTACTCATAGCGCCCCCCAGTGGTAACAGGAAGTGACCAGTTTTTACTTTAACATGTACTCATGACACAAACTTGACCGCATCAACTTCATTCCACTTCTAATGCATGCAGAACAAGCTGGTGAAGCTACCTTATGAACGCTGTGAAGCTACGTCTAATGGTGTCCATGTGGCGGCGTGGCGACTATTGATCCCTCGCCACTAAATACGTTTGGCTTTTTGATGGCTTCAGCGATCTCATATCCTCATGAAAATTGATACACTGGTCAAAAATGGCGAACTCTCGCATCTGATAGGGGCGCCGCCCATGGGGGGGACAAAATGCGTCTATAGCGCCCCCTTAAAATTTTCAAAAACTCCTCCCCATAGGGGTTTTTTTTGGAGTAGGAGGATGAAAATTGGGACATGTGTGTATGTTGCCCAGACGCACAAAAGTCTCTGCCACCAATGGTCTACTCCAAACAGGAAGTCGGTCATTTTGATTTGAACTTTTCATTTTGGTGGCGATTTTGTGATTTCTACACCTTGTATTTTGATGAACTCCTCCTACAGATTTTGTCCAATCAACTTCAGATTTGGTACAGATCATCTTGAGACCATGCTGATCAAAAGTTATTAAAAGCTTTTGTCTATGTCAAGGGGCGTGGCCAATATGGTGCCTCCTTCGCCACCTGATACGTGTGGCTTTTTGATGGCTTCAGCGACATCACATCCTCATGAAAATTCATACACAGGTCAAGAATGGCAAGCTCTTGCATCTGATAGGGGCGTCGCCCATGGAGGGAACAAAATGCCTCTATATTGCCCCCTTGAACTTTTCAACAAACCCTTAGGGTTCTTTTTGGAGTAGACACTTGAAACGTCACACCACGTCAGGGTTAACTAACTCTGAGTTTTCACATAACCGTTTCAGTTATGTGGGCTGCTGGCCCCCCGTGGTGGTGTGGGAGAGTAATGGCCCGATGACAGCTGCTTGCAGCTTTAATTATAATTGTATTACTTTCATTAATGTTGTTGTAAGCTACTGTCATTACCGTCTGTCCTGCATCTCTCTCTGTCTCTGTCTCTCTTTCTGTCTCATTTATTATGTTGATCTGTTCTGTACGACATCTATTGCATGTCTGTCCTTCCTGGACAGGGGATCCCTCCTCATTTGCTCTTCCTGAGGTTTCTACCATTGTTTTTCCCCTTTTAAAGGGTTTCTTTTGGGGGAGTTTTTCCTTATCCGCTGCAAGTGTCCAAAGGACAGAGGGATGTCGTATGCTGCAAAGCCCTGTGAGGCAAATTGAGATTTGTGATATTGGGCTTATAAATAAAATTGATTGACTGATTGTTTATTTCTTCTTCTCTTTAAATGGTGAATTGTAAACGATGTTGGAGCATTATCACCAACATTTAACCACTATCTCCGCCCACACATAAACCAAACTTATGCCACAGTGTCAATGCCGATTAAAATGTGCCCTTATAGCTAGGAGCAAGTTCAATTTAGCATGCTAGTTAACGTAAGCACTCGCATTATTGTTCATGGTACCAAATCATAACAGACCCAACAAACATTACTGACGACCTCTATTCGACAATAGTATAGTTAAAGCAAAAAATATGACTAACAGTCTCCTTGTTGTCCCCTGCTGCCATGTCAAAAATTGAGAAGTTTGCTACATCACAAAGATGGTGACCGTTGAGGGTGAGAAGTGCCCAACATTTTGTACACTTTTGGTTCGTTTAGAGTGCACCAGTCGTACACCGCATTTGCATATGCAGTGTTCACTTCTGCACTCAATAAAGCGTTGAAGTATGTAAATAGAGACACACTGTTGGTCTCTGTGCCATAATGGATTTCTTATGTATTTTCATGCATATGGAGCATGTGTTTAAAATCACATCACACTTATTTCACAAGATTCTCAAGAACTGTGTGTGTTTAGTCTACCTGACACTATGTTAAAAGGGGTTGTAAAAACTATGGCGTACAGAGACTTTTCATCAACTTCATATTTCTTTTGTTGAAAGTTTCAAAATGCCATCTTTGCAGTTATTCAGATGTGAACAGTCAGCAAGTCTTTAGCCATCGGTTCAGTTCACAAACATTAACTGATTTATTTGATCTGGGTTGGGTAGATGTCATCATCACTGTTCTTTTGCACGTCAGGACAGGAAAATAAAAATCCACAAACAAGATCAAATGAGTAATGATAGCATTAGAATATCATATCTATGGTTCAAAATAAAATTATTAGCAGCTGTGAGTGTACGCTCTCCAGTCATAATGAAAACATGTCCTTGTGCTAATGAAATTAATAAAAAGATTGGAAAAATTGAATTAAAAATGAAACATATTAATAAGACATTATTAAGACATACAATAACCAGTGTAAATGATTACAAAAAAATCTAAATATTCAGAACAATACAGTTCTGATGAATATAAATGAAAATGGCAGAACATTTATTTTTGCTGGAGGAGGAGGCAGAAAATGGGGAGGGACGGGAGTATCCAGTCAAGAATTGGAATGAGGAATGACGACAAGTCTCTCAGGGTTGGTTTTTGGTCTCGGGTCTGTGGCAGAATCATGGCACCAGTGCAGAAAGAGCTCCTCCTGTCCCTCTCCCCTTTCCTCTAATCTCCCGTTTCCTGGTGTGGTCACCTCCTTGTCAGTTCTCCTTGTACTGTAGCCTTCTCATCAGGCCTCAGAGACTGATGGAGCTGAGTGGACATGGCTCAGAGGAGACAAAACTCCTTTGAGGGTGTCTCTCAGGGTGGGGTTATGTTGCATAGTGATCAAAGCTTCCCAGGTACTCCAAAGCAGCCCGATAGCACAGTTGGTACTGTTCCTAAGGACAAAAAACAAAACAAACACACACAAAAAAAACAATATATTTTGTAATAGTAAATCCAGAATAAAAGCAGTATCAAATAAAGAATATACAGAAATATTTCAGGTAAGACCTGCATTATCAGGGCTGCAGCAGCTGATGTAAAATGTTGCAAACTGATACAACCACAGATGCAGCAGAGGACAGTAACTTCAGTACATTTACTTAAAACATATTTTTGGGCCACTTCGGAGCAGCGGAAACAAGCTGTGAACACAACACTGACATATTATCACCTTTTAATTTGATATGGCAAACAGTTTACACATCCAGGGGGGTATTCCAGGTAGGAGGTTCAACAAACTCTGAGTCTAATCAGGGCTCAACAATAAGGATTGCCCGATTTGCCTGGGGCAAGTAAAACTCACGGTCGGGCATGTAAACTAACAACTCACTTGCCCGATCGGGCAAGTTGCTAAAAATAGTAAAAGTTAATAACTAACTGATAAAATAAATGTATTTTAAAACGTGCTCTTCTGCTCTGATGCAGCGGTCTCTCTGCCTGAAGTCACAGGCACAGCTGTGTAACAATGTCCTGCCCACAGCCCCCATTGATATTATTTTGCGCGACGGACGCTTCATATAATAACATAACAATATACTATTTATGGTGTTATGCCATCGTGTCATTTCTGTCTCTACATGGTCACGTGTTAACAATTCTCCTCTGCTCTCTGTATCGCGCACGGCGGAGTTCCGCCACACACACAGGTGATCACGCTAGAGCGGCTCAGGCCACATTTCCTGACCAAACCTGACCCCGAGCCCGGCGCAGTTTGTCAGTTGACAAAGTTATTGAAATGGACAGTGTGTAAATAACCAACAGACTGCTGTTACGCACAGACAAACACGCTGCTCGCACAACAGCTCAGCACGGCACTCATGCTGAGCTTGTGTTGTGTTCAGGCGTCACGTAAATAACAACTTCCAACACTTGAATAGGTCATAGCACAAAACAACAGCATCTCAAGTGACTTTTTACTTTATTATATTCAATAAAATTGTTTGTTCCTAAATCTTGAGACACCTCATATGTAAGCTAGACAGACATTTCACCTGCTCATACTGTGCACACATGTACTGTATGTACTTAGTCCTAAAGAGCCCTTCTGGTGCCAGTAGATACATAGAAACATCCCAGCAGGCTGTGCTTTGCAAGCATACAAAAAAGTTTCACGCATGTGAAAATTATTTTTCATGCGTGTGCTTCACCTCCGCTGCTACAACTCCATCCTAGGGGAAACACTGCTGTGCGTTTTGTGCAACAGGTGGATGTGGTAGTCTACTGGTAGAGTAGAGGGAGAGCTAAGTAGCGTTGAAGTACAGTAGAGCAGGGCAGAGAGATGGAAGCAAAATATATTAAACCCAGTGTTAATACAGCAGAACTGGAGAGAGGGGTGAAAAATACATAGAGGTGGGCATGGCTCAAGTAGGGCGCAAAATTATAGACGGAGAACGATTGACAAATTTTTTACTTTAAGCCCTGACACTGTCATTTTTGTGTAGGAATTAAGCTACAATACATGACATATGTTGTTATGTTGTTTTAATTAATAAATACAGTGTGAATAAAGATTACATAACATAAAAATAACTGCAGTCTTAGTTATTTGATAGCCGCTTAAATTAAACAACTTTTCGGGCAAGTAGATCTCTGACCAACTTGCCCGACCGGGCAAGTAAAAAAAAAAAACCTTAGCGTTGAACCCTGTTAATCCTGAATTCTGAGAGGCCGTTGACACGTACACGGTGATTTTGATAAACGGAGACATCTTCCTTCGTTTGAGCCCTTCGTTTACACGCAAACAGAGATTTCTCCTCTGAAAACGAGTCTTTCTAAAAACTCCGGCCAGAGTGGAGATTTTGGAAAACTCCAGTTGCGCGTTTGTATGTAAACTGAGATAAACGGAGATAAACGAAGTTATAGGCAGCCGACATCACAGTATGCGCCGGAACTTGCGCCTGTGTCAAAAGTGCGACCTATGTTGCTATGGTGACAATGGATACGTGGAAGGCTTGAGCTTCTCGTTACACTGCCACCTACAGGTTTGGCATGCTCTTGTGTGTATATATACATGGGTAAGTGTGAACGAAGATCTTTTTGAAAACGGAGACGGTGAAATATCCGTTTATGAAAATAGCCGGCAATGTGTAAACGGCCTCTAAGTTGACTTAACCTGAGATGGGAAACTCTGAGTATCCGGTTCTAGAACAGCTGATTTGAATTAGTTCAATCAACTCTGAGTAGGTACACCTTGAGTTAAGCGTGTGCACAACCACAATAAAAAGCCATCAACTAGCCCCGATACCTCGATTCACCATGGCAACTGGAGAGAAAAAGCGATCAACTTATTTTACACCTGTGGAATTGGAGGTGCTCATGAATGCCTACAGCGAATATGAACACATATTTCGAGATAATTGCTGCCAGAGTCAGTGTGTAAGTTTGAATGCACTAGTCCATTAATTTAACATTTAACGACACTTAATTAAAATCGTAGCATACAGGTGAAAAAGTGGTGGAGTTGTTTTGAATAAAAAATAATTTTCATATAGGTGCAATCTCACAGGGGAAAAACGCACTTGGAAGCAGCTTAAAATGAAATATAAAAACATCATTCAAACAGGTAAGGCATGTTTTACTTGGCAATGATTGTACTTTTCTTTAGTTTTATTTATATTTGATTTATTAAACAAAGTAGCTTAAATAACATGTCATTCAGTGGCTTTTTCATTATGTACTGTAGGTCACTAGTAATTTAAACCCCCCAAAAAATATTGTTTCAGCTTTTATGTCCTCTTGCCTAATGGCCTGCTTAGTAACACTGGAGTTCTACTCAGCCAACAGAAAGAAGGCAGAGGCCTGCAAAACATCACCAATACCATATAAAAAGCTACCGTTCACAAAAAAACATGATGCACGACATTTGCTCTGATGAGAGCGCAGGTCTGCGGTGTGTCAGATTTGATATGTGTGGCCGGAGAATGTTGTAGAGGTAAATGATTGAGTCTAATGAAAGATGGTACCATTCAAACATATTCATTGGGGAATGACAGCACATTTAAACAGGGTCTGAAGATCCTCTCCTGGCGTAAAGCATTGCGAATTAATTCTCCCTCGATAGCGATCAGATTTCCTACATATGAACAACCCATGTTTGACAGCTGTCTGACAGCTTGCTTCAGACTCGGCAGTAGGGAAGAGACAGGGTGAACTCAGGGTTTCTTATAGAAAACCTGCCAGCGAGCAGGTTAGGTTCAGAGAGTCAGTTGCCATGATGATTGACTCAGAATTTGATTTCCCTCTGTTTCTGGAACTGAAAACCCAGAGTTTCCCTCATTTCAGGGTTAACATACTCAGAGTTTTCACTAAACCTGCTTTCTGGAATAGGGTGCTGAATCTGCTAGGTCCGGTACTGCTCAAGTCATGAATGTGACATGACCTGACCTCACTCCCCTGTCATGTGTCACAGACATGAACATCCCCTGTTGCCGACTGGTTGGAATTATGTTGTTTGCTTTCCATTTACAGCCAGGGCTGTGTATGAATACCGGATTTCTTTTCAGTGCACACAGAGTACAGACATCTAGCAAACCATGAGAAAATGTTCTCAGAATTTAACAAACTGTAATGTATTACAGTTTTTCTCAATTGCTAAAACACAATTTCTGAAACCTTGCTCCATTTTCTGAAAACATTAAACACAAAACCTCCGCTTCAAGCACTATTTACAAAACCTCTGACTCCTCGTGCAAAATGAAACTTTCGCCTCAAAACAGATTTACTTGTGCTCAAAACCAAACACTGCTCTCAAATCATAAACAAAGCAGTCAAAATGATATACACTATCAAGCAGTCAGTAAACAATACACCAAAAAACAGAAAACATGTTCAGAACATAGAGTTCTCAGGGAGAAGTCATTTTGTCATTGTCTTTTGATGAATGAAAACATGTTCTATCATAGTAGCTCAAAATTGATCAGAAATTATACTCTGCTTTGCTCTTTGCAATTTTTTTGCGCTTCCTCCTCCTTGTACCCCTATTTTTACAGTACTGTACCCTGCATCTCACAAACTTGTCCTTTGTTTCTGTGATACTGTAATTCTTCGTTCATTCTTTGTTGATATGAACCTGCAACCAGTCAAAATCTATTGAGCAGTCATTACTGTAAACAAATGGAAAGCACAATGTTCAGGGCCAGACAATTTGTTTATTGTACAGTATACAGCCTACAATGCACTGTACTACAGTATAAAGTATACTACAATACAAAAATCAAAGGAGTAAACATGTGATCAATGTGCTTCTTCTTGTCTTTGGGCTTGGTCAGGCCAGAGCACTTTGTCGACATCACAAGCATTATTTTCCCTCCTGACTTTCTCTGTCCCACCTTCAACAACCTGTTTGCTCTCTGAACTGGCTTATATTGGTTGTGTCACATGATTTGAAACAAGTGAAATCAATTTTCAGTGATTGTTTTTAATCAATGACATGTGTTCTCTATTTGTATTTGATTGTTTCCACTTGTGTTTACCAGTATGGATGACATGTGTATTAGAGTGCAGAATGTGTTTTGAGAATGATAATGTGTTTAGAGTTCTGCTGAAAAGTCTAAGTGAGATCTGCAAATTGTGTTTTACCATGTGAAATGGTTTAAGGTATTGACAACAGACTGCACAATTAGCTAAATGAGTTCAGGCAACTGCGAACTTTGTTCAGCCAATGGGTTTTAGTGTTTTAGCAATTGAGAAACTGTAAAATTACTGACTGCACCTTTACATGCTGTAATTTGTAGCTAGGCAATAATAACCCCACTATTTCACTAATTATACTGACATGACGTTTTCTTCTGTATTCTTTTACGTTCCTCACACACACACCAGCAGCAGTGTGTCGTACCTCTGTCTGCACCATGGCTGACCTCTGAGTTCGGAGCGTTTTGACAGTCTGGAACAGGTCGACCACTCCCTCGTACCTCATCCTCTCCAAGATGATGCTCAGGGTGATGAACACCCCAGTCCTCCCAACACCAGCACTGGTGGACACGCTCATTATTAGACTCTCATTCCAAATCAACAAGTTCATCACACACATAGACATCTGCAGGACAAATCAAATCAAATAGGAACCTGACATTCTGTAACACATGGCGTTACCACTTTGATAGCTGACTATGCTCCATAAAATCAGAACAGGATTACAATTAGAAACTGACAAGCTGTCCCATCTGGTTGCAAATGTATGTTTCCATTCTGTCAAATACTCTGATCACTAAATAACACACAGATGTCTGAAAATCCTTTTACACAAGAGCTACAGTGCTGTTTGAAAGAAGTGAGCTCGAAATACAAGGACTTATGGGAATTAGGAGATAGATGTTGACACCTAACAGCCAGCAGTTACTAATGCCTGGTGAGGCTGGCAAATAGAAACGCCTGTAGATGAAAATACCATCCAAAACAACAGTCAAATAATAAATGCTAGCTTTGGTATACTTTGTGTCCAAGAGGTGTTAATTCAATTCTTTAGTTATTTATGAGGCTGCAGTTTGACTTGGTGTTGTATTAGATTGCATTATATAATAAGGTGTTTCTTGACACCAACCCACCTTACACACAGGTACAACTAAACACCAATAGAATGAAGATAGAGATAAATTGGTTACTTAATCACATAAAACCACTGATGGGTGAAGTCAGTAACATTGATCATCTTATTACTGCTCAGAAAACTTGGGTCCTAGTGTGGGACTCATATTAATGTGGGCAATATAAGCAGACACCCCCCATTCTTAGTTTGTATTACGTGTGTACTATTTTCTTATTATTTTGTTGTCATTATTTTTATTTATTTGTAATGTGATATTTGTGCACAAGATCAGCTAATATTTGCAGTGGGTTAAAATGGGTATACGATGAGTAAAGCTCTTCACAGGCACTTTGAGGCAGCCTAAGGTTCCTTTCAGTGAGGCGCAAGATAGCACTAATTAGTAAGTGGACCCCCCCCCCCCAGCCAGCCTGCATGTCGCGATGTGGTCGTGCTGATGTGCTTGTGTTTACAGGTAAGCTAAAAGTATGGGAATATGTTGAATATGAAGTTGTGACACGTGAGCATACAGAGTGTGTAACAATAAGAGACTGTAATGCAAATGTGTGTGCTGTTCGGCGTTTTGCAAGTGGAGTAAAAGTCCGATGAAAATGTGCTTCATCTAACGGGAGTAAATGGCGAATTACAATGTCAAAAGGGTAACCTACTGAAATATGAGTTGTGTGAGTGTGCCAAATGTTATCAGTGTGTTAGCTAAGTGTTTAAACACAAGTGCATTTTGTTTAATGTCAGTATGTCAGGAAACAGGACTGGTTAGTTTAATTAAATGGCTAATTAGTAAATGGAAACCCCAGCCAGCCTGCATGTCGCGATGTGGTCATGCTGATGTGCTTGTGTTTCTGTGTTTAAAGAAGTAAAGGATCTTAAACTCATGCACGCCTGAGAATATTCCTTTGTGCTCAAGTGTGCAACACTAGCATTCATGTGGATGCCACATGAAACACTCCACCCACCCAAACACTGTTACAGACCAAGTACATACTCATTGCATTATACAGCATTGTAACAAGATGAACGATGATACTGACTTCACCTGCCAGTGGTTTTAATGTTGTTGCTGATCAGTGTATATGCAAATGTTAGTTAGATGGTAATCTGCATGAGAAATAAAGAAAAAGAAAAAAAAAAGGTTATAATAATCGTCTGCTTATTGTGATAAATTTGACCTGGACAGATGTGATCACTATATGTGATTTCCACTGTGTATGCAAGCATGGACAGGTGAGTAAAAGGCTGTAAAACAAATTGAAACAGGTTCACATTACATTACCTAATATATGTATACATGTATATACATGTATACATATATCAGGTAATGTTAGAAATCAGGAAAAGTTTCATGTTATAACAAGATGTTTTTGATGTTTTTACATTTTATTTAAGATTAGAGAAGATTAGGAAGATTAGATTTAACATTTAGATGTATTATTAAACATTTAGATTCATAATTAACATTTAGATTTATATTCAACATTTAGATTTAGATTTAACATTTAGATTTATATTTAACATTTAGATTTAACATTTAATATTTAGATTTAACTGTGACATCACATCTCACATATTTTAAATATTGCTGTAAATGCGGTAAAAAGTAAATGTTGTTTGAAGCTAAATGTGTCAAAATGTTGCTGTTAATTTCAGTGTGAGGCCACTACAACCGGCAACCCATACAAAATCGACCTATACATTTAAAAAAAAAAATCACGGTGTAATGTTCTTTCTTTCTCTCAATCTCACACACACACGCGCACACACACACGCACACTTACCTGCAGTGGACAGTAATTGGTCCATCTTGTCCAAATTGCTCTTTAGTTTTATGGACTTGGCCGATGAAGTCTATGAATCCTTCCAAGGTTTTTGGCACTCCTTGCTCTGGCCAGTCAGTGAACTGAAACTGCCTGATGGTCCTTGACTGACCATCCTGATGAACACACAGGAAATTGGACACAGAAATTGGGAGTAACTCAAACAGATCTACAGCTCCCTCCTGTTAGATACAGTAGAGAACAGAGTTGGGGGTAACACATGACCAACAAGTAAAGTATCACACTGCTGTTACTCTTCACCTTTAAATCTTTTAGTGCATAATTGAAAGTGTTCTTTTACCTCTGAGTCATTTTACTGAGAAAACGGCCTATAAGATATGTAGAGTAAAGTTCCATACATTTTAAGCTCACTAGTAAGACACTGGGGTCAGTTTTTTTTAAATTAAGAGATATCACCATGAAAGGTCCCCAGCTGATTACTTACACTAAAACAATTATTTTTTTGTACTAAAGATTTCAGAAATTTTAAGTTTAAACATACAAATGAGGTATTATCAGGTATTACCAGGAACTTGAGTTTTCTTTGATTCACTGAAACTTGGCTAAATCCTGGACAGCGGCATTCAACCAGGTGACTTTTCTAAAAAAATTTTGCTAATCTGACAGAGCAGAGGGCTATGGTGAGAGAAGGAGAGCAGGTGTGTGCTTTACAGTACTGGTACGACAATGGGAATGTGAGGTGCTGTCCTGTTCCTGCTGTGCATCACTGCTATATAAATCACAGATTACCAGAACCATCCAGAAACATGGACAATTACACAGCAGCAGCCAACAATGTCAGAAGATGCAACAAAGGACAACATCACAGTATAATTCCATGTGACAAATAAACGATTGATTGATTGACCCAATATTGATAAGAATAAAACACGAAAGTCTGGTATATGTAAGTGCTGTTGAAGTGGAGCTTTTTGGCTTACTCTGAAAAAAAAAGTTGTTTTGAGAAAACGGCCTATAAGATGTATAAAGCCATTCATATTTAGACCAAAAATACGACACGGGGGTAAAATTTTTAAACAAATAAATATCATCATGAAACTTCCCCGGCTGATAGCTTACACTAAGGCAATTATTTTTTGTACTATAAGTTTTAATATGTAAATAATGCATTAACTAATCAAATGTACTCTTTGCATGAATTTCCAGAATATATCTGAACTAAAATAAACACCTACATGTGTATTATAGATGTTTTCTTTCTTCTACTCTGAAAAAAAGACATGGTATGGAAGCAAAATATTCCAAAAATCTTAAAATTGACAAGTGCATGAAAAAACTTACTGTCCAAATCCACTTGAGTGCAGTGAAATTCACAAAATACCTCTGCATGCAATGGAAATGCATGAATATATTCTGTTGCAAAAATAGCGCCCTTAGTTGTGTTGATGTCCTTTTCCAATTAAAATGAGCTAAGCTGAAGCCATCCTCCTTTTGCAAAGCTTTGCTGAGGAGAACCTACCCTGGCATCTGTGACTTTGAACTCTCTCAGGATGTACTGAGGCATGTTGTACTCAGCCATGGGGTCCACAACAAAATACTGGTAGCGTGCAGAGCGCTCAGCAGGCCAGTACTGATGGCATTTTTCCTGAAGAATGGACAGAGAAGATGTAATCAGGATATCTGATGTTTTTTGAGTTTTATCTGGGATAGTCAAAGAGACCAAAATACTACCACTTAGTTATGAAGTAAATAAAGAGGTGACAGAAAAAACTTTGTGGGCAAGGGGCAGGTATATTAGTGAAGGCATGGTCAGATTCACATGTTCGGGCAAAAATAGGCTGTTGGGCCGCTATTGACCACCCCCACCTTCTTTTCTCAGTGCATTGTATATGCACCCTGTTGCCCAGAAAATAGCCAATACACCTCATTTTTAATCATTTAATATATCACATAAAAGAACATTAACAAAAACAATAAAAATAAAAAGAGAATATGAAAAGGAGGCCAAAAGCCAATGCAATTGTTTATTATTATTGGGTAATTTATCAGTGGTTTGGTTTTATTTGGTGGATTTATACTTGTCATTTCTCTGCTGAGCCTATGCCTACGCACATGGCCTATGCCGTTGTGAGCATTTATACTTGTGCGGTGGTGTGTCTGTGTCGCTTTGCAGTTACACCTCCAAAACACCTAGTAGGTGGCGGGGTATCTGTGAGGTTTAGTTGATTCAAAACACACATTAAATATGGCTTAATAGTGACAATTTCAAACACCAGTAAACAAATTGGCTTCATTCCAACTCACAGACAAAGCACCTGTCTTTTGCTTCACACATTTTCCCCACAAATACAACATGCTAACTTTATTAGCACAAGCCTATGGCGTTTTACGTCGTATAAATTAGCCTAGCGGCTAGCAGAAATCTCCTTTACTCATGTGATGCCAGGAACAACAACATTTAACAAAGGTAATGTTACAAAATTCGGCTTCATTACAGCTCACAAGGTTCACAGACAAAACAACTGTCTTATACTTAACATGTTGTCCAAACAAATACAACATGCTAACTTTATTAGCACAAGCATATGGCTATAAAGTAGCCTAGCAGCTAGCAGACATTCCTCTACTCATAAGAAGCCAGAATAAATCACACACAAGACTTCAAATGTGGGGGCTCTATTGTCATAGAAATGAATGGTTTCTTATGTGAAATGAAAGTAAATAAAAGCTTCGTTTCCACCGAGGAAAAATAGATAGGAGCTTTGCATCACTGCGACATGTAGTTACATTTCTGGAGAGGTGAATGTCAGCCTATGCCGTAGACTACGGCGTCAACACAGAGCCTATACCTACGCCCAGGTATGGCATTTGATGCAGAAGTATAAATCTTGCTTTAATGGTACGAAAGTAATACACTTGAAAACACAAGGTATCCTTAGACACCATTTAGTTATAATAAGCAGGAATTAAATAAACAATTTTGTACTTAGGATAGATTTACTGAAAAATAACTTTAATTCAAATTTCACTTTCAGATTTCATATTCACATATTCAACGTATGCTGAATGAATATTCTTAAATGTATATCAATACTTACTTAAAATAAAATTGGGTAATATTGTTTAAGTGTACACAGTGCATGCTATAAAAAAAAAGTACTTTAATATATGTAGCTAATGATATCTCAAAAAAGCAAAGTCAAGTATGTTAGTTAAGTATGTTAACAGGGTTGCCAACTTTGGTCTGAGGGCTGGATTGAGATTTTACCTTGTGACGTAATATCTGCTTGTGTGTGCGTGGTCATGAGCATACGTGGTCACCACGGCAAGTTTTGTTTTTTTTACCTTAAAAGAGTTAATATGCACATGTGGCAAACAGAGGAAATGAGTGTACGTTTACATATTCATATCTATAGGCCTAAGCCCCACATACGTCTATAGACGCTCAATATTTGTTTTATGGCGCAGATCAAGGTTAATTTTGTCTTTTGTCATTAACACACAGGTCCGAAAGACACACACATGCACAAACAGGACCTATACATGCACAAAGTGGCGAGATGTCAGAGTGAGGGGGCTGCCCTTGGTGAGGTGCCCCGAGCAGTTGGGGGGTTCGGTGCCTTGCTCAAGGGCACCTCGGCAGTGCCCAGGAGGTGAACTTGCACCTCTCCAGCCACCAGTCCATGCTCCATATTTTGGTCCGGACGGGGACTCGAACAGGCGACCCTCCGGTTCCCGACCCAAGTCCCTATGGACTGAGCTACTGCCGCCCCAGTATTGATCATTCGCTTAAAAAATCCAGTAATATGTCCTGTTGTGACAAAAAGAAAGATTTCAGGGGCTTTTGGGGGGTTCTCCCCAAAGGAAATGTTGAAAATTCACACCGCAAAATCCTATTTTCATGCAGTTTCATACAGAAATAGATCAATTCAAGGACTTTCAATGACCTGCGTACATTTATGCATATTCTCAAAAACTTTCCAGGGACTTGAAATGTTTTCAAGGATTCCAAGGACTCGTGGTAACCCTGTTGATTTATCATGTTTTATGTGGCTTTTTGAGACTCTGTCATAAAACATGATAAATGTTTAGCATCTGTGATCCCCAGGAGAAAAATGTAGGCCTTAGGCCTACAGATGAGTTTAAGAAAGAAAACCCAATATAAACTGCCATTTATTTCTTCTGCTAAAGAATGTAATTTAAGGCCAGGAATGATCATGGCTTGTAACTATATATGAGCAGTTAATTACCTGGAGTTTTCATTTGAAACAACCCAGTGTATGCATTGTATGCAATTCTATATAGGTCTATTTTATAAGGTCATGCCATAACTCAGCATTCACCAATCAGTGTAAAATTATATGCTGTTCCCATGTTTATCCACTAGATGGCTGTAGAAGGCAGTGACTGAACTTAAAGCGATACTCCGGTGTTATTCAATCCACGGCTCTGCTGTCTTAGGTCACGGAGTGCTGTCTATAGAGTAAACAGTGAGGACGTTTGGTGCAACATGGGCCGAGTGCCGGCGACGGCTAACCCAATCAACAACTTTGCTGAAACCGAAACTATGCGGAGTTGTCCAATTGGGTTGGCTTTCGCTGCCGCGCCGGTGTTTGGCTTGTGTTGTGCCAAATTTTCTCGTTCCTTTTCCTAGCAATAGCTCAGGGGTATGGATTGATTGAATACATGGATTGAGTTACGCCGGAGTAGTATGTGGTCCGGTCAAGCCACACAATGGGCTGGATGTAAAAAAAAAAAAAAAAAAGGACTTGCGAGTGAGAGAGTGACATTGATGGTGAAAGAGTGACAGTCACGCCAGATGTGTGAGAGTTGGCAACCCTGTGTTCAACGGAGTGTGTGCAGATATTGGCAAGTTCTGTGAGCTTTGCAAGACCCAGATTCAGCAAACTGAAAATTCATTTCATATCCCTCCAAAATCAATAATGCTTAAAGGAACTGGACCAAATTCAAATGACTTTAAATCTTGCTTAAATTTTCCGCCTTCTTTTCTCCTCTGGGAACCATTAACAGTTTTATTCAGAATCAGCACTTTTGCTTTTTAGCATAAATGTAGTATATCAGAATCAGAATCAGAATCAGAAATACTTTATTGATCCCTGAGGGGAAATTATTTATGTTACAGGTGCTCCTTGCAAGACAGGAAAGATACATGAAAATATAAGAAATATAAGATATCTAGAACCAACTTAAGTTTTTGGTATAATTCAAGGCTTTAATTTAGTCAGTTTGATGTAATACTGCTTTATACTTCATGACATGACATGCAAAGGTGTGATCATGATGTGTTACCTGTCCCATCTCGTGCAGGTTGGTGAGCATGACTACAATGGTGGAGTTGTGTTCCCACAGCATTCTCCAGAAGTCCTCTGTGGTCTCGGCTAAGGGGCCCTGGGTGGCCATGTACGCTTTCTGCTGCCTGTATATCGGAACAGAGACACATCTGTTTCTTTGGATTCCATTTCAGCTTTCTACCTCTTCAGGCCTAGCTATGGCTCTGGTGCAGAATTTCTTTTAACTGGAATAAAAATTAAGGGGATGGCAGATAAATAATTATGTGGTGGTTATATCATATTTTATTTATGTTACCATAACATAAGATAGATAGATAGATAGATAGATATATACCATTTAAACACAATATAAACCAAAATAATAAATAATACATGTTAAAACTAGATTTTTACATAACAGCATTTGCTTCCTTAATTATTGCATAAAACTTTAATGTTTGCCATTAACTTGGGATCCCCACCATTGACTAGATAGATAGATAGATAGATAGATATTAAGAATAGGAATAGGAATTGGTAGTAATATAGACAGAGCAGTCACCCAAGACTGCAAGACAAGGCAGACCAACCTGTGCATCGCCTGGATTGCCTAGAAGAAAGCCTACGATTCAGTGCCACACACATGGATACTGGAATAATTGGAAATGTACAACATCAACAGTACACTAAAAGCCTTCATCAAGAAGTCAGTTGGCTGTGGAAAACGTCTCTGGAGGCCAACTGGCACAAGTTATCTTCAACTGTGGCATATACCAAGGTGATGCACTGTCCCCACTACTATTCGTTATTGGCCTGAACGCCCTAGCCAACTCATCACAAATAGTGGCTATGGATGCTGGTTTCCGAAGTGGTGCAACCATCAGTCACCTCCTCTACATGGATGACATCAAGCTGCATGCCATGTGCGAGAAAGACATCAACTCACTGATCCACCTCTCCAGGATCTACAGCAATGACACTGGGATGTCATTCGGACTAGATAAGTGTGGTCGGATGGTGTCCAAGAGAGGGAAGATGATCAGAAATGAGGGGGCTGAACTACCAGAAGGCAGCATTGCAGATATTCAGGACAGCTACAAATACCTTGGGGTCCTGCAGGTAAATGGGAACCATGAAGAGCCACAAGGAAGTCAGCCACAGCCAAATATCTACAAAGAGTAAGGCAGGTCCGGGAAAGTCAGCTGAATGGAAAGAACAAGGTCTGAGCCATCAACACATACGCCCTGCCAGTCATCACATACTCTGCTGGTATAATAAGCTGGCCAAAGGAGGACATAGAGGCCACTGATATCAAGACAAGGAAGCTTCTCACAATGCATGGAGGGCTGACGTCCTGACGTATTGCGGTAAGCGTGTTGTGTAATTTCCAGTGTTTTCTGTGACAGCGTCTCTGTGCTGCTGTAGTGAATTGTACTAGCCTGCTTTCTGCTTTTCTCACTTCAGTTTCTTAACATCTAATTCAAGTCTTAGACCACACTAGTTCTGTTTAAGCAGTTAAAGCTCTTCTCCTTTTTACGACTTTCTTGCTAATCTCTTAGCTGTTGTTTGTGCGTTATTAGCCTTGTTAGCTACACTAGCTTAGCTATGGCTTCTCCTTCTCCTGCTCTTTTTTGCTCGGTGTGCCAGATGTTTAGTTATGTCTTTGCCTCCTTTAGCGACAGTGGTAACTGTAACAAGTGTAGCTTATTTGCTGCGTTGGAGGCAAGGCTCAGTGAATTAGAAGTGCGGCTCCACACCATGGAAACTCACTCGGCTGCGGTAGTTACTTAGTTAGTTAGCCACTCCCCTGTAGCTGGTGCGGAGCCACATAGCATAGCCTCTGCTAGTGGTCCCCCGGTAACCCCATGCAGCCGGGAGACTGGGTAACTGTCCGGGAGAAGCATAGCTCCAAGCCGAAGCTCACGGTTCACCACCAGCCTTTTCATGTTTCTAACCTCTTTTCCCCACTCAGCGACACACCCGCTGAGGAGAAAACTCTGATCATTGGCAGCTCTATTCTGAGGAACTTGAAGTTAGCAACACCAGCGGCCATAATCAAAGGTATCCCTGGGGCTAGAGCGGGCGACACTGAATCAAATTTAAAACTGCTGGCTAAAGCTAAATGTAGATTTAGTAAGGTCGTTATTAACGACAGCTGCAATGACACCCGGTTACACCAATCGGAGGTCACTAAAATTAATATTGCCTCGGTGTGTGAATACGCTAAAACTATGTCTAGTTTTCTCTGGTCCCCTCCCAAATCTGACCACCACATGTTTAGCCGCATGTCATCATTTAATCGCTGGCTGTCCAGGTGGTGTCCATCAAACAATGTGGGTTTCATTAACCATTGGCAAACTTTCTGGGGAAAACCTGGTCTTATTAGGAGAGACTGCATTCATCCCACTTTGGATGGAGCTGCTCTCATATCTAGAAACCTGGCAAAGTTTATTAGTAATTCAAAACCCTGACAACCCAGAGTTGAGATCAGGACTCAGAGTCGAAGTCTTATATGCTTCTCTGAGCTTCTAGTGCAGTTACCCACCCATAGTTCTATACAAACGGTGTCTGTCCCCCGACAACCTAAATTATCTAAATCTAAAATTAAACAAAGAGGAGTTGTGCATAATAACCTCATAAAAATTAAAACCTCTTCTGTGACAGAAAGACAAAACAGGAGAATTAAATGCGGACTGTTAAATATCAGGTCTCTATCATCTAAAGTAGTGTTAGTAAACAAATTAATATCAGATAATCATATTGATTTACTCAGCCTCACTGAAACCTGGCTGTGTCAAGATGAATATGTCAGTCTCAATGAGTCCACTCCTCCCAGTCATAATAATACCCACATTCCTCGAGGCAGCGATAGGAGGGGAGTTGCAGCCATTTTTAACTCTAGTCTGTTAATCAGCCCTAAACCTAAACTAGATTATAATTCATTTGAAAGCCTTGTTCTTAGTCTTTTACATCCGACCTGGAAAACCTCGCAGGCACTTTTATTTATTATAGTGTAACGTGCTTCTGGCTTGTATTCTGAATTTGTATCTGAATTCTCAGAGTTTTTATCCAGTTTAGTTCTTAAATCAGATAAAATTATTATTGTAGGTGATTTTAACATTCATGTTGACATTGATAATGACTCCCTGGGTACCGCGTTTATCTCATTATTAGATTCCATTGGCTTCAGTCAGGGTGTACATGAATCAACTCACTGTTTTAACCATACCCTCGATCTAGTTCTGACGTATGGACTTGAAATTGATAACCTAATAGTCTTTCCACAGAATCCCTCGCTATTGGATCATTATTTGATTATTTCTGATTTCTTTTTACTCGATTACAAGCCACTCTCAGTTACTATACTAGATGTTTATCAGATAGTGCTGTCGCAAAATTTAAGGAAATGATTCCTCCATCGTTAAATTTAATACCATGTCCTTCAGTAACAGAGGTTTCCCATACCGACTTTAAACTCTCCCGAATTGATCATCTTATCGATAGCACCGTAGGCTCACTGCAAACAACACTCGACTCTGTAGCTCCTCTTAAAAAGAAGTTAACAAAGCAAAGAAAGTTCGCTCTTTGGTATAACTCTCAAACCCGTAAGTTAAAACAAATATCGTGAACATTTGAAAGGAATTGGCGATTAACCAAACTGGAAGAAT